GGGTTCCTGAATCGCCGCCGCCAGAAGAACACAACATCTGGTTTATTCAACCATCCAACACCCTACCCTAGGACTTTTCTGGTGACGATATCATCCGTGGTTCCGCTGTCCGCTGGTCAGTATATTGCACTCTTCTTGTGCAGGTTCTTGTGTGTGCTTCATTGCTGCTCTTTGGCATCCTGTCACGTCGTCTCTCTTCCCTTGCATGCCAGACTAATTTCGCAAAAGCCTGGCGTGCCTCCGTCGATCCGATACGCTGAAAGCCTTAGCTGGATAGCCGGAGCTTCTCGAGTGTCGCAACCTGCGTCTGAACGATCGCGTTAGATGCTATCAGAAACTCTCTTTGTATTTGCGTTCTCTGGCCTCTAAAGCAGGCGAAAACTTGCGCAGTTGGATACAACTGTTGACTCCCTCATCCCTCTGGGAGTTTGATCCACAAGAACAAGTCTGAACAAGCATGGAGGCTAATGATCCGGTCGCAACTGCGACAACAAACGGACTACCTATTCTTCCGCAATTAAACTCGGATTCACTTTCTTCCCCAACCCCAGGAAAACGAAAACGCGTCTCCAGTCCCGGCGACGAATCCCCCAATTGCGTTGACATCTCTAATCTATCCAGCACTTCAAAAAAAGAGCCTCTCCACCAAACCTTGAAGGACCTCCTTCAGGTTCTAGAAAAGTGAGTGCCAGTGAACCTCTCTTTGCCGCTATTCCCAAAGACTAGTCTCGGATTTTGTTTCTAATCTCGATAATACAGATATGATTCAGATCTTGGTATTCTGAAATTTCCCCTTCCTCCAAACTCCCCCGTCGAACCTGATAGTAAACGCGCGAAGTTATCAGATGCCACGGCCGACTCACAAACAATAGAGTCCAAAATCATTGCGGCGCAATACAAGACTATCCAGGAGGTAGTCGATGACGTTGAGGCTGCCTCCGTTCGAATTGTGCAACGACGGCATGAGTCTGAAGCTACTGCAAATAGGCTGGAAGATTTTCGTTCGTCGACCGAGTTAGTCAACCTTTCGCGCATATTTAAAAAACATTTGGACAATTTCATTCTTCGCAACCCTTTCCAAGGAACTTCCCTTGTAAAGTGTGAGTCTCCAGAGCTTCAGAAGAATGCATCCCAGAACAAGGAGAATAGCAGAAAGACACACGATCGGGAGGACAAAATGGTTCTGGCCCTCTTTGGGAATCCGCCCCGTGGGAGGCATTTGTTTTCTAGTCTGCAACATCCAATCAACGCAGAACCCGACTCTCACAATCCGGCTAAACCAACTGCTGTGGGCATACAAGCCACAATAAATGAAGCAGCACTGCCAAACGGCATTACTACATCCAAAGTCATTCCATTCAATATTAAAAACGTGGATACGGATAAGGGGAAGTCGAGGACTATAGCGGATGTATTTTCACCTCGTGACAACCTTCCACAGCTACAACCTCCCCGCAAATCGCGCTCTTCCAAAAATTCAAACGTTACATGGCTTGACCCATACGACTTGACCATAGCTGCAAAATATCCTTCAGTTGAAAAAAAGGGGTATCCCTACTTGCCTTTCCCCTCTGGGTATTGGTTACACTATGGTTATGAACCCTCGGTTCGGTCGGAAAACCGAACTCAAAAGACTGACGCAAACTTCGGCAAAAGTCTGCAAAAGCCTTTTCAGAACTCTCTTAATGATGGCGACTCATTATTCCGCAGTGTTTATGCGTCATTTGCTCCCTCGTTTGATAGTTCTGGAGCATCCATTCCTGCGGACGCGAAGGAGCAAATATGGTGGGACCAATTTGGGGCGAAGAATTTCCATGCGTTATTGTCGAGTGGAAGCGATATAGAAAACCAACAAAGCGACGATAAGATTTCAAATCTACCGATCCAACCACTGGATGAAACCAGTCTAGAGGAAGCAGTGAAGTTGTATGAGCCAGAAGTCGATAAAGAATTGGTCAATCAAGAGGAACAGTCTGGTGGACAAAATGAGGAGAAGGATATGGAGGAGGTTCTCGAAAACATATCTGAGCTTTTACGCACGCTAAATTCTTATCGTCGAATTCGAATCCTCGGGCAACCACTTCCCATATCGTCAGAGAAAATGAACAACGAGGCTTCAGCGTCTGTAGATCCCTCCTTGCCCTCTGGTGTGGAAGCTAGAGTGTATGAAACGCTCAAATCAAGTTTGTCCTCGATGATCGCCACGTTACCTCCATATGCTGTTTCAAAGTTAGATGGGGATCAATTAGCGGAACTAAATGCCAGCAAAAAGATATTGTTGGAAAGTGCTGATTATCCTGGAACAATGGACGAGGATGAGTATACCTTTCAGCAGAAACAGATATCCAGAGCTTCCCAGGTGCCAAATGCGGTCCGTACACCTACACCGAACGTGAACACACCGCGAACATCACCATATCAGACACCGCCCACGGCGACTAATGTTCCATTGCAACGATATCCATCCAATTCTCGCGCAAAAGCAGTCCCAATGAATCACCCTCCTCACCAAGCTTATGGGACGAGCCAGCGGTCTTCATCTATCCCCTATCTTCCTAATAATTCTCCCCAGCCGTACAATCCGTCCAGGCAACCACCACCCCAACGAGCTGGGTATGCACAGCCTCAATTTTCTCAACCCGTCACTCCGCAATACAACCAAGGTGGGATCCTTCAGCAGTTCCAAAGGCCAACCCAGAACGGTACAGGCCCTTATCCTTCGCAACGAATAGCTTCCCCAGCGCAGGGATCGCCTCAGCCTTATCCCAGTCGCCCAAATCACCAAACCCCTTATCAACAACGACCGCAAGATAACCCATACGGCTCACCCATTGCTGGCCCACACAATTCTCCTCCCCAGAGACATCCAAACTTTGGTGCATCCCCCCAGCGTCACCCGTACGTGAATTCTACTCCTGATAATCCCCAACCACGATACTTCCAGCAACAAACCCCGCAACCGCCGCCCTTCCCAAACTTCCCTTCTACACAAACCAGCCCAGCACCAGCGGGATACGCCAACAGCGCAGCTGTAATGACATATGCGCGAAGCGCTGCGGAGCAAGCGGCCCTTATGGATCGCAATAAGGCACAATTGGCCGAGCATCAACCTCAAAAATCCAACACCCCACAGCCATCATCTGTTCGGCAATTCAGCGGCCAGGGGAACCTACCACCCGGTAATCGGCAGAATGGTGCTCCAGTGGGATCTACAACAGGTGCAACTCAGTGAAATGATAACCAATAGCAGTAGGAGCTTGCAGGAGGAAAACTTCTGGCTTCAAAACAAGGACAAAGAGAAGCTTCACATGTTTTTTTATTACAAGCTTTTACTATTCTGCTTCACTATAATTTTTATTCTGTTTACCTTGTATTCTGCACACTGTTTCTTAATCGTCGGGCAGATTTTACCCATGACCTGCTTTGTTCCAATTTCTATCTTACCCTGTCTTCATATTCTACCACTTCCCGTTTTCTATTCATAACCCCTTTTATCGAAGAACCCTCCCTTAGGTAATGGAAAAAATTAGTTTGTTTTGCGTTCACATCTTAACTTTGTTTCCTATTTCTTCTTCTGTGATATTATGGTATTTGCGGTTTCAGATTTCCTTGGTCTGGACGCCCAAAAATACGGCGGTGGACGTCATCATCCTCCGCTGACATACTTTCGCCGTCCACATTGCCATTTCTTTTCTTTTCTTCCAGCACACGGCGCGGATTGGAGCAATCGGAAAAGGGAGCAAGGGATGTAGAAGGACATCTATTTTCTGCTCTGTTTGGTCTTTTCCTTTTCCCTTTTTCTTTTTCTTTTTTTCTTTTCTTTTTTCCTTAGTTTTTTAATTTTTTTTTTTTCTTGTTTTGTCAAATTCTTTCATTAGATTTGGAGATATATCTTTTCTCTTACATTATTTGTTTGAAGAAGGAAGATGACGAACGGGCGGATTGCTATTATTGGGTTTTCTTGCAACTCTACGGAGAAGCTTTGTCGTAATTCTTTTTAAATCTTGCTCGGCTAATTAAAGATAGGTTAGGGGTAATGCAGTTTCGATTTTGTCGATGAAAAGTTTGCATTTCTTCTCCAGAGTCCCCAACCCAAATGTCAGGAGTAACTAATCCGCCAACAGATGCAGCACGGAAGCAACGCACTCCCAGATACCAAAATCTGCGTTGAGAAATTTAAAAGACCATTTAGCCAACATTCAACATTTTTTATTGTGTAAAAAGACATATAACCATCCGAAACGCTAAATGTAGGTCAATACAAAACAAGCCATCTGCTGTTCCACACAGAAGTTGGCAAAAGGCACCAGTCAGCATGTCCAATGCCAAGGGTCAATAGCCCAGAAAAAGGAAGAGGAGAAGAAGAAAAAGTAAAGTAGTCAGAGTGAGAGAGAAAGATGAATCACCTCATACTCTGAAACGAATAAATGAAGGGGTAAAAAGAATGAACAACGTATTAATTGAATTGTCAATTAATGACTCCAGCCAATTCCCAATTCCAAGCTCCCTTTCCCCATATATAACTCCGCATACGCACGTTCAACAGAAGAAGTTGGCTGTGGTGTCAAGTCCCTTTTTCTGCTCCCGTCCAGCAGGTATATAACTATTTTGTGTTTTGTTAGTGGCACCAGGGTTCCATTTTACCTATCCTGGGGATGCGACAGGACCGAAATCAAGCTAGCTGTTTTCCACTTGTGGAAGAAGAGATGAACCATGAAAACCATGTGAAGAAGATATGAATAAAAAGAATCAAGTATGCAACGCTGATTGATGACAAGACACATCGCAGGCTATGTACCGCGTAGAGGTATCGAAAAGAAAATTCTTTATCAAAAGGGACGAAATTGCTAGAGAAAGAGAAACGTGAGGACAGGAATACAATGAAAGGACGCCATGAAATTGAACGAGACGAATAATCGGAATCGGGCAAAAAAAAAAAAAAAAAAAAAAAAAAAAAAAAAAAAAAAGGGGGATCGAGATTCGTTACTCATAAACTGCCGTTAAATAATGATGGCTGCTGCAGCCATGAAGCCGAAATACCTATTACACCATCAAATAGTCAGACATCTATTTATATGTCACATATTGATAAAGAACCACATCAAGGAAAGGAAAAAGGCAAATGACACAGGTACATACAGTGCGGCACATCTCCACCCATCATGTGGATCGATCAAATATTCATGACCAGCTGGTCCATTTGATGCAAACAAAGCCGTTGCACCTCCAACAATGGATACGACGGCAATGCGACCAAAGAACTCGGAAATAACACCAAAGGCAAGAAGTGGGAATAGGATGGCAGCTGAAGCGGTGGCAATGGTAGAATATATTGGATTCGGGGAACGGGCGGACGCTGAACGGTCCCCGAGTAGAATGAGGTCATTATCATTGGCGAGGAACCTCAGATCAGACTTGGACGATGAGGAATTCTCATGGATCCAAGTACGGTAGGCGTCGACCTCGTCGGTCGTGGCAGTGAGTAGTTTGCGAGAGACCTCACGATATGAGCAGAGAGCACGGTCTGGATGATGTACGGGTAAGTTTTATTATGTAGTCAGTCAAAGCCGCAAAAGATTCATATGGTGGGGAGGCAGTCTTTCTTACTATATTGCTCCGTCTTCAGCACTAGTTTTTCAACCAGTTCAAACTTCCTCTGGTGAAGAGCTGATAATTCCTCAGACTGAAGGTCCTGATGCTTGGTTGATAGCAGTTTCTGCCTTCCAGAATTTCTAACATTGACGGCGACTCGTCGTACCTCTTCGACTTCGTCAAGGATGGAGAGGTCCTCTTCCATCTGCGCGATTTCTTCCTGGAGATGGTGCAGCAAGCGATGGTTCAATGACTCAAACTTCCGATACAGTAATGGGTGGTCGCCATCTCGTGACGCGCTTCGTTTGGAACCTGACTGCACGGAAGCCCGTCCTTGCTGTTTGTTCTTACTTATATTCAATTTGCCCATATCGAAACTCCGACGATATTGATATGAAGGATGGATGGCGGTATTTGGAGGTGTCGGGGGAAAGGCGTATTTTTGTTGGGTGTAGTATGATTCAGGAGCTGGGAGATCAAAAAACCCAGGGCCAGGAGATGTAGGGCTTTCCAACATCGTTTCCGTATCGGTCATGTACGCTCCAGCCATCTGGAGGCGGCGGCGCGTTTGGAATTCATCTGCAAATTTCCAGCTGGGGTTATCTAGAGAGATATCAGGGGGTGTTGCGGGCTGGTATTCAGTGGAAGAAGACGACGAAACTCGATCAGGACTGTGGTCCCTAAGCGATAATCCTGGCTCCGAGGTGAAGCTGCAAGATGCGCTAGATTGCCGTCTCGAAGTTTTGGATGGTGAAGAGGTGGCAGATGACTGCCTCGCACTCATAGTCCGGGCCCAATGGGCACTGGGATCCTCTGAATCGTCCTTATCTAGGAATTCAAAGACGTTCGGCAACGGCTGTCTAGCTCCCGGTTCACTCACTCTTGTAGTTGGGCTTCTCTTCAGAACTGGGGGGGCATTGGCAGTGAGATCGATCAATGGTTTGGCACTAAGGGTTTTGGAGCGTGGTCGGGGTCGCACAGCAGTAGAAGAGCTCTCATTCGAATCTCCAGAAGATTTGGCCCGAGATATAAGAGCTGGGTCCACAACGGAGGTCTTG